ATATGCCGAGACAGACGGCCAGCCTTCTGGTTAGTAGTTAAGGGAAAGCCGTTTGTGCTGCCCAGGGACCTCCTAGACATAACCAGTTCTTCCCCTTTCCTTCCTGAAGTTTTGTGCCTCCATGCCTTTGCTCAGGCTGTTCCTCCTCCCAGGCATGCCATTCCCTGCACAGTTCACTTCTTTCTTGAGACGTGATCTGCCCTGCCCCGACCCTCTGGGGTGAGCTTTTTAGAGTTTCTGTCTTCCTCACTGGATGGAGAACTCCTTGAGGACAAGGGCTGGTTCTGACTCCCAGCATCTTCCCTGGAGGTCACATGAAAGCTTTGTATCCTCAAGTTAAGTCCTTCTTCCCCTCATTTTCTGAACTTGCATTTGCCCTTCAAGACTAAGTCTCCACCTCTTCTGGAAACAGTCTATCTTTTCTGGTTTCACAGCGTCCCTTCTGCCATCGTTTTAGCTCAGATCCCTAGAATGCTAATGTCTGGGATATTACACCCGTACCCTGTCACCAGAACTCCCCTACAGGATGGGGCTGGAGTGGGATCCTCACTGTGTCCCCAGCACCACCCAGCCGTGGTCTAGCATGTTAGAGACCTTCGGGAGGTGACCTGAACTGAAAGGGACCTAGGGTAACTTCTGATGTTGTTTCTGGCTCTGGTACAAATGTTTTCAAGCTTTTGGGATGTCCTCCTGGCTCCCCCCGTCCCATCCTCCACCCTCACTGGTGCTCCTTCAGGTGTCTCTAGGAGGTTTTCCTGGTTTAGGTTAACTTGGGGCCTCAGTCAAGAACAAATGGCCTTACCTGCTGCCTTTGACACTCAGTTTCTCCTGAGTGGCCCTCCCACACAAAAATGATCCAAATTCACCCACCCTAGACCAGAATAGCTCGTGTCTTCCCCTAGTACAAGGTTGCCCATGTTCCCCACAGGTACCCACAAAAGGATGTCCCATATCCCTCCAAACAAGGGTGGTCCACATCCCCTCAGACCAGAGTGCCTTATGTTCCCCCAGACTAAGGCAGCCTGTGACTCCCCCAGACTAGGGCAGGCCCATGTCCACGAAGATCAGGGCAGGGCCCCTCTTCCCTCAGACCATGATCCCCATGATCTATGCCCTCCCCTGAGCCCCCACTCTTGTCTGAATGATCTCACCCCCTCCAGATCCTCCAGTAGCATGTGAGGCGGCGTAGGTTCCAGAAGGGGAGCAGACACCCGCAAGTCTGAATTTAT